AGGAGTGGAGATTGAGGAGTGGAGATTGAGGAGTGGAGATTGAGGAGTGGAGATTGAGGAGTGGAGATTGAGGAGTGGAGATTGAGGAGTGGAGGTTGAGGAGTGGAGGTTGAGGAGTGGAGATTGAGGAGTGGAGATTGAGGAGTGGAGGTTGAGGAGTGGAGATCGAGGAGTGGAGATCGAGGAGTGGAGATCGAGGAGTGGAGATTGAGGAGTGGAGATTGAGGAGTGGAGATTGAGGAGTGGAGATTGAGGAGTGGAGATTGAGGAGTGGAGATTGAGGAGTGGAGATTGAGGAGTGGAGATTGAGGAGTGGAGATTGAGGAGTGGAGATTGAGGAGTGGAGATTGAGGAGTGGAGATTGAGGAGTGGAGATTGAGGAGTGGAGATTGAGGAGTGGAGATTGAGGAGTGGAGATTGAGGAGTGGAGATTGAGGAGTGGAGATTGAGGAGTGGAGATTGAGGAGTGGAGATTGAGGAGTGGAGGATTGAGGAGTGGAGGTTGAGGAGTGGAGAGTTGAGGAGTGGAGATTGAGGAGTGGAGATTGAGGAGTGGAGATTGAGGAGTGGAGATTGAGGAGTGGAGATTGAGGAGTGGAGATTGAGGAGTGGAGATTGAGGAGTGGAGATTGAGGAGTGGAGATTGAGGAGTGGAGATTGAGGAGTGGAGATTGAGGAGTGGAGATTGAGGAGTGGAGATTGAGGAGTGGAGATTGAGGAGTGGAGCTTGAGGAGTGGAGCTTGAGGAGTGGAGCTTGAGGAGTGGAGATTGAGGGGTTGAGATTGAGGAGTGGAGATTGAGGAGTGGAGATTGAGGAGTGGAGATTGAGGAGTGGAGATTGAGGAGTGGAGGTTGAGGAGTGGAGATTGAGGAGTGGAGATCGAGGAGTGGAGATCGAGGAGTGGAGATCGAGGAGTGGAGATCGAGGAGTGGAGATGGAGGAGTGGAGATGGAGGAGTGGAGATTGAGGAGTGGAGATTGAGGAGTGGAGATTGAGGAGTGGAGATTGAGGAGTGGAGATTGAGGAGTGGAGGTTGAGGAGTGGAGGATTGAGGAGTGGAGATTGAGGAGTGGAGATTGAGGAGTGGAGATTGAGGAGTGGAGATTGAGGAGTGGAGATTGAGGAGTGGAGATTGAGGAGTGGAGATTGAGGAGTGGAGATTGAGGAGTGGAGATTGAGGAGTGGAGATTGAGGAGTGGAGATTGAGGAGTGGAGATTGAGGAGTGGAGGTTGAGGAGTGGAGGTTGAGGAGTGGAGATTGAGGAGTGGAGATTGAGGAGTGGAGATTGAGGAGTGGAGATTGAGGAGTGGAGATTGAGGAGTGGAGATTGAGGAGTGGAGATTGAGGAGTGGAGATTGAGGAGTGGAGATTGAGGAGTGGAGATTGAGGAGTGGAGATTGAGGAGTGGAGATTGAGGAGTGGAGATTGAGGAGTGGAGATTGAGGAGTGGAGCTTGAGGAGTGGAGGTTGAGGAGTGGAGATTGAGGAGTGGAGATTGAGGAGTGGAGATTGAGGAGTGGAGATTGAGGAGTGGAGATTGAGGAGTGGAGATTGAGGAGTGGAGGTTGAGGAGTGGAGATTGAGGAGTGGAGGTTGAGGAGTGGAGATTGAGGAGTGGAGATTGAGGAGTGGAGATTGAGGAGTGGAGATTGAGGAGTGGAGATTGAGGAGTGGAGATTGAGGAGTGGAGATTGAGGAGTGGAGATTGAGGAGTGGAGATTGAGGAGTGGAGATTGAGGAGTGGAGGTTGAGGAGTGGAGGTTGAGGAGTGGAGATTGAGGAGTGGAGATTGAGGAGTGGAGATTGAGGAGTGGAGATTGAGGAGTGGAGATTGAGGAGTGGAGATTGAGGAGTGGAGATTGAGGAGTGGAGATTGAGGAGTGGAGATTGAGGAGTGGAGGTTGAGGAGTTGAGGTTGAGGAGTGGAGATTGAGGAGTGGAGATTGAGGAGTGGAGATTGAGGAGTGGAGATTGAGGAGTGGAGATTGAGGAGTGGAGATTGAGGAGTGGAGATTGAGGAGTGGAGATTGAGGAGTGGAGATTGAGGAGTGGAGGTTGAGGAGTGGAGGTTGAGGAGTGGAGATTGAGGAGTGGAGATTGAGGAGTGGAGATTGAGGAGTGGAGATTGAGGAGTGGAGATTGAGGAGTGGAGATTGAGGAGTGGAGATTGAGGAGTGGAGATTGAGGAGTGGAGATTGAGGAGTGGAGATTGAGGAGTGGAGATTGAGGAGTGGAGATTGAGGAGTGGAGATTGAGGAGTGGAGATTGAGGAGTGGAGATTGAGGAGTGGAGATTGAGGAGTGGAGATTGAGGAGTGGAGATTGAGGAGTGGAGATTGAGGAGTGGAGATTGAGGAGTGGAGATTGAGGAGTGGAGATTGAGGAGTGGAGATTGAGGAGTGGAGATTGAGGAGTGGAGATTGAGGAGTGGAGATTGAGGAGTGGAGATTGAGGAGTGGAGATTGAGGAGTGGAGATTGAGGAGTGGAGATTGAGGAGTGGAGAGTTGAGGAGTGGAGGTTGAGGAGTGGAGATTGAGGAGTGGAGATTGAGGAGTGGAGATTGAGGAGTGGAGATCGAGGAGTGGAGATCGAGGAGTGGAGATCGAGGAGTGGAGATCGAGGAGTGGAGATCGAGGAGTGGAGATCGAGGAGTGGAGATCGAGGAGTGGAGATCGAGGAGTGGAGATCGAGGAGTGGAGATTGAGGAGTGGAGATTGAGGAGTGGAGATTGAGGAGTGGAGATTGAGGAGTGGAGATTGAGGAGTGGAGATTGAGGAGTGGAGATTGAGGAGTGGAGATTGAGGAGTGGAGATTGAGGAGTGGAGATTGAGGAGTGGAGATTGAGGAGTGGAGATTGAGGAGTGGAGATTGAGGAGTGGAGCTTGAGGAGTGGAGATTGAGGAGTGGAGATTGAGGAGTGGAGATTGAGGAGTGGAGATTGAGGAGTGGAGATTGAGGAGTGGAGATTGAGGAGTGGAGATTGAGGAGATTGAGGAGTGGAGATTGAGGAGTGGAGCTTGAGGAGTGGAGCTTGAGGAGTGGAGATTGAGGAGTGGAGATTGAGGAGTTGAGATTGAGGAGTGGAGATTGAGGAGTGGAGATTGAGGAGTGGAGATTGAGGAGTGGAGATTGAGGAGTGGAGGATTGAGGAGTGGAGATTGAGGAGTGGAGATTGAGGAGTGGAGATTGAGGAGTGGAGATTGAGGAGTGGAGATTGAGGAGTGGAGATTGAGGAGTGGAGATTGAGGAGTGGAGATTGAGAGTGGAGATTGAGGAGTGGAGATTGAGGAGTGGAGATTGAGGAGTGGAGATTGAGGAGTGGAGATTGAGGAGTGGAGATTGAGGAGTGGAGATTGAGGAGTGGAGATTGAGGAGTGGAGATTGAGGAGTGGAGATTGAGGAGTGGAGATTGAGGAGTGGAGATTGAGGAGTGGAGATTGAGGAGTGGAGATTGAGGAGTGGAGATTGAGGAGTGGAGATTGAGGAGTGGAGATTGAGGAGTGAGATTGAGAGTGGAGATTGAGGAGTGGAGATTGAGGAGTGGAGATTGAGGAGTGGAGATTGAGGAGTGGAGATGAGGAGTGGAGATTGAGGAGTTGGAGAGTTGAGGAGTGGAGCTTGAGGATTGGAGATTGAGAGTGGAGATTGAGGAGTGGAGATTGAGGAGTGGAGATTGAGGAGTGGAGATTGAGGAGTGGAGATTGAGGAGTGGAGATTGAGAGGGAGCTTGAGGAGTGAGATTGAGGAGTGGAGGATTGAGGAGGGAGATTGAGGAGTGGAGATTGAGGAGTGGAGATTGAGGAGTGGAGATTGAGG